AATAACTCTCTCCCGGTTAAAAACTGGATCCAAATGAGCAGAGAGTTGCTCGCGCTGTCTATAGTGGCGGGAGGATGCACATAGTCTGGAGTCAAAAAGGGAGAAAAAGGAAAAAAGGAAGGGATTGAATCCAAAGAATAAAATAATGAAAAAATGTCCATTCTAGACATATTTACAGGAGCCAGGGGCTCAATGGCTAGCCCATAGCAGCTAGCAGAAGGACGAGAAATTGATGGAGCACCAAGCAATGGAAAATAGGATCTCAACCACATTTAAGTGAACCAAAGAGGTCCACTGCCAGTGGGAAGTGCACCATTCTTCAATTGAGTTTGAAGAGAAGCCATGTCTCTATAGAGAGTAGCCAAAAAGAAAGAACATAAATTCAGAGGCCTGCTACGCGCCAATTCGTGCGCTATGGGTAAATAGCTCAGGGAGGGCTTTATGCTTGGTACACACAAAACATATTTACAAAGCCAAACTAGAAGAAAGGCCACTCGCTCAGTATGGGAAGGTTCAGCGCTCGAATGGTTATGAAGGGTTTGCAAGCTTGAATAAGACTCGGTGAGGGTTTTACCAAACTTTGGGACGCCACCAGAAACCAAGATACCAGGAAAAATGGTATCGCCCAAAGGTGGCAGATTCACTAGGGCCCCAACATCTCTTAAAGTAATAGACATGGGGCCAAAAGGGAAAACAAAGGTATTATATTCAGAAGACCAAAAACTTAAAGCGATCGAAAAAAGTGCTGAATCAAAAGTAGGGGGTTGAAGAGAGATTTCTAACAAATCAAAAGTCCTAGCATTATCAAAAACTGCCTTAGTAGGACCATGGTCCACAAGGCGAGCATGCCATCGACAGAAAACTACGTCAGATTTGGGCCAATTGCGAATACCTCTTTCGCGAAGTGGCCCCAGCGGCAGAGAGTTTAGAAATGGAGGGCCTTGAGTACAAGGAAACAGCTGGCCCACCGCCGCTTGTTCGACTGCCTCTGCATTGTTGAAGAAATGACCTAGGTAGAACTCATTGAGTTCGACATTAGCGGATGCGAGAAGGTCCAGAGTTATGTATGGACGATTAAGGAGTTTCTGAAAGTCATCAAAACTAAAGGAGTCGCCAGATTGAGATTGTGAAGTACCCATTAGGGACGAAACGGAGTTTTTCAGAGTTACGTAGTAGGGAAGCAAAGAGATGAACAGTAAATTGTGGGAGAGAAACGCGAAAAAGTGAGGCGTGATTTAATAGTGCAGTGAAATGATGTGTTTGGGGGTTATAAGGGTTTGCAAAACGTCGCGCCTTTTCAAAGCTATGGAAGAAAACAATGATTGAAATTCTTGGGAATTGTTGACACATAAAAATTCGACCCAAATCGAACGGCCTAAGGAATGAAGCCCAATGGGAGGATCCCCAAATCAGATAGCCCAAAGAATGAAGCTCAATCAGACAATTCAAGATGAAGGCCCAAATAGGGAAGCCCAGGAACGCGATAACACCATCGCCCAAGCTTGCAAATCGCCCAGGTCCTGAGCGAATAGAGTGCCATGCAGTCGCCCAGAACTGCTACTCTATTCTCGCCCAAACTTTCGAGTCGCCCAAGGTCTTAGCAAACATGAAGAGCTGTGGTTATCAAGAAACGCAGTTATCAAAGCAGTTATTAAGTAGCCCTATCACGTTCCACGATTCAAGGAATTCAATCGAAAACGGTTGAATGATGAAGAGTAATGGCAGCAGTTAAAAAAGGCAGTTCCATGACAATTTGGCCATTACGAGGAAAGTGGGCAGTTATAGAACGATCAAGCAGTTTTTAGGCGGTTGATCACAAAGAGATCATCCAGGGAGTATAAAAGGAAGAAAAGACATAGAGCAAAAGACCCCGAATAAAAAACTCTCGAACAGAGAACATGTAATTTTAAATTTCTTAGTTTAGATTTAAACACTTTTTTCAGTAACTCGTGTGTTTGCGCCCCTTGGAGGCATTCTGTTTTTAGTTTCCGATTGTAAAGTCATAGCCAATAAAGAACACTCATTTTTGGGACTTTGTCTCAAGAGATTTGTCCGTTACACAATCGTCTGATCCCTTTTAATTGTTAGCGACGAACCCGCGCGAAACACGTTCCTTAATTCTCCTTATTTTCAAGAGGTAAATAAAAACTATGTTAATTGAATTTTAGGGTTTATGGAAAATTGCTCATATTTGAAGTTTAGCAAGAATTAATGATTATTGATATTTAATTGAATTATTAAACAACAAGAGTGAAGTGCAAGACGTGTGAAAAGAGGTTGTAAATTAGAACTTGATTTATGATGTATTACATTGAGCTACGGAGTTGAGGTTGGATTTTGGCATTTTTAATCAATTTTCATGCAAATTTAATGTACAGATGCTAGTTTGAAATTCTGTCCAAAAAGTGCTATTTCTGTCGAAGGAGTTTGGAGACATTTTTCAATGAACGGACATTGGTGTCACTTTTCAATATACTGGAAAATACAGTGTTAATTTTGTCAATCATGTGATTTTCTTGGATAATTTGTTATGAAAACCAAATTAACTGTAAATATTAGAGATTAGGTTCTAAAATAATTTATATAAAAGAGTATATATTTTTAGTGACCCTAATTGGGATTGTGACATTGAAAATAAAAGATATCAAGTTCCTATTGGTAAATTAAATGATTAAGGCAACTTGATGTAGAGAGGTGATTTCTTGGGACGAGTCCGATGTGTCATACTTAGTATTTGAGCGGGGAGGTAACAAGAAGATCCGTGATCAGTCTATAACTTGGTCAGTGAAAAAAAAATTAAATATTTTCAAGTATTGATAAATTAATTATATTATTACATTACGTGCGATTATATGAATTATTTGTTCAATTACATTATTATTATGAAAATGTTGTTTCACTATGATATATGAAGATTTCAAAGATTGTATATAGATTATTTGTGGATTGAAATATGAGACGTGTGATATTAAAATCAATCAGAAAAGTACCAGTAATTATATACTTCTTCTAATTAATTGAGTGCTCTTGAAGTGTTCTATTCTTTACGGAGGGGTCTCGACCGTAGAGGAATGGGTCTTGATCGTATAGATATAGTTCATTGAGGGCCTTGGTCATGTTCTAAAATTGATTATGAGAGGTCATAGAAACCTACTTCCGTTCATTGAGGAGGCTTGAGGCCTGTGTCGGGAGTGCTTTGCCCAAGGGCAATCTACTCGCGTATAACCAGATTACATATGTTAGTCAGAGTATACTTTTTGTGGATTTTTTAGTACATTAGATGTGATAAGGTTATAGTATGGATATCAACTGCTATTTATATCATGAATATAAGATGGTATTTTACAGTGTTATGAGATTGTTTTACTTTTTGGCTAAAATTGTATGATGATGTCCTGTAAATTATTAAATGATATGAACTCGATTTCCAATAAATATGTATAGATGAGAAAGTATAACTATTTTCAGAATTTTGAATTCATTGAGTTATCAACTCGTATATTTTCCATGATTTTTCTTACAAGTAGCATTGGTTCTTGATAGCTCGAGGAACCTGATAATTTCAGAGTTATAACCACACGACATGTTGAGTTATATGATTCATTTTAGTAGAATACGAAATAATTTATTTGAGTCCATTGCATGATATTTTTCATAAGCAATTGATTTTGACAGATAATTACTAGTAACTCATAGTCAGTCTTGATGGTGGATATTACATCTAGTCAGTATTTACCATCGGCACACGTCATGTTTCGAGTCCATAGAGTGATTCGTGGACTGGTCGTGTAATGTTCCACATGTTACTCTTCTCAAAAACACATTATACAACTTGGATATGCATGCACCCATTACTTGTGGAAGTCTTCTTTCGTTTTATATGCCTTATTTCAACTGCATTGTCCATATTAATGTTCATAATGCCATGCAGAAAGCCGACCATCTGCCCCCATCCCATTGACAACAAACTCAGCCATAGTCCCAATAAAATTGAGGTCGGGTATCCGAATCACTTTTCAATGCATTGCTAGATCTACTTGAAGATACAAAAGTAAAAATAATAGTTAACTTTTTGACATTTCGGACATACATGCAACAATCAGAATATGTTTTCATCAAAATTGCAGAATATCCACAAGCATTATATACAATGAATTTCCTGGCCCCATCAAGGTGAGCCATTGCAGTGCCTAAGCCTTTGTAGGGGTATGAGCTCCACTCTGGTATAGAGTAAGCCGGTGTATTTTCACAAGTAAATGAAGTTGCTGGATTGTACTCATTATGTGTTCCTTGGAGAAAATAATGTTTGCACAGTTTTGAAAAAGTGAAATAGTTGAATCTGTGGCCAAAATTAGTGCATTTAGTATAGACAGCATGATCTCATGTAACTTCACTGATACATGACTTTGAAACTTTACTTCCACTCCATCGTGTATCACAAAAAACTGAGCATTCTAGGTGACATTCACAATGTCGGCATGTTGACATACGTGTATTACACACGTGTATTCGAACAGTTAGCATTGGCGTACCATGTGGTTGGATGCAGCTTTATAGGAAGCATGAGTTCAAACACAAACATTATATGATTTGCAGTCTTCGATAAAGCATGTGTGAATGAATGTCCAAATTGAAAGGTGTGACATTGATAAGGGCAACACGTTTTGGTAACTAACATCGAATACTAATAAGCATTATTTGTGTGCTATGAGACCCACTAATTTTCGAATGGATAAAACTTAATAGAAAATTAATGGTAATAATCATTCTTTGCATAATTCAAGATTTCTGTATTTAGAACTCAATAGTCGTGCTTAGTTCTATTTAGTATTACGCATGAAATGTATCTTCCAGACGGTAATCCTCTCCAAGTTACATCTTTCAATTTGAATATACGTGCACCTCAACTTATTGTACATCCGATCGGATGTGTCGACTATACGTTCGAATCCAAACTTACTATAGAATTTGCAAGGTGAGCCATTGCAGTGCCTAAGTCTTTATGTGAGTATGACTGTATGAGCTCCACTCTGGTATAGAGTAAGCTGGTGTATGGCCTTTGAAAATAATTCTCTCAACTCAGGATGCTGCAGTACAACATGTCGAGCCGCCTTTTCAAGCACACTCAATGCTCTTTCTTGTTCGAGAGACTTGTTATTACTGACATTTATTGCAAGGTTACATAGCAATATGAGCTCGTGCAAATGCAACTGGCCTCGATCACTTGTCCTCAACAAATTCATAAGTTTTGGTATCCCATTAAACTCGACAATCGCCTTAGAATGTTCCTTTCGATTGAAATTATCATCACGAACAAACTTTCCCAAAGCTTTAGCTGCTTCAGTAGCCACTTCAGGATTCCTATGACCAACAAGAGAAACCAAAGGCTCGATTATACGTGTTTCCTTAGCTGGAAACGTCCTCGCCAAACACCCTATTGCCTTAGTCGACGGGATCAGCAAAGACACACTACTCTCCTCATTTATCACCCTCAAAAGTTGATCCAAAACGGCTTTTCCAGCCGGAGAAGTTGGCTTAAAAGCCGTACGCTTAAGATCAGCATTAGACTCAGCAACTGCAGCCAATTCCATCACCACTAGTAAACAATTAATCTGCAATTCCCCTTTCTCTTTCTCAATAATCTTCGCCAAAACAAGCAAGGCCTTAGTCTCCGTAATCTTCTTACTATTCAATAAACTACTTCTAGCTAGTTTCCACAGTGCACTCGCGCAACTCACCTTAAGCTCCGACTTCACCTCCATCGACTCTCCCTCCCTTTCCTTCTCCTTCTTACCATTATTTTGTCGACTCCCATCCAAACTACCACCACTACTCAAACCGCTACCAACCATTCTCGAAATTTCTTTATTAATATGAACCAATGAATGCAAACTAGTAGCTGTCCTTCGCTGCCCCACATCCTTAAAATCCTCCAAATCCACATCCATACCCAAAAGGCTCACTAGCGGCCTAGATATATTCTCCCTCCCAAACTCCTCCTGCACTTTAAAATCCTTCTCCACCATCCTAGACACCAAATTAACCAACATCACCTGAACCCTCATAGGCGCTTCTGATAGCGCCTTTGCAATGATCTGAATCCCAAGAGCATCAGCTATAACTTCAATGCGCTTTTGATCATCCGCCAAATTATAAAGTGCATTTGCTGCTGCGTTTTGGGCATCAGAATTCGAATTTTCTTTCAACAGCTTCAGTAATGGAGGAATCCCATTTTCCTCTACTATAAATTTTTTGTTTCTATCATTATCCCGTGCTAATGTGGCCAGCCCCTGAGCAGCCTCGGGGCGGGCCATTTGCACGGAAGCTATATAAGACCACACCCAAGCTAAAATCGGATCATTACTAGCGATTGGAGGTAAAGATAAATTTATAGTCCCATTTTCAGAATCGGGTTTAAATATTGAGAGAAGCCAATGAACATCAGCTGAAGAAGAATCTAGAAGATTACCCACTTTTTTAAAGTCAGTGGCGGTGGTGATCGAAAGAACGTGCCGGAGAACATTAGTCTTTTTGTTTTTACACTTGCGGCAGAGGGCGAGAGCACGGTCGAGGGATTTTGTGAGGTCGGCGGCGACACGACGGATAGGGCGTTCGTAGATGTTGGAGGAGGCCGTGGTGAGGCGGGCGACGGCTCGGAGGTGCTGGGCTAGTTGGGCTACTTGGGCGGCGAGGTCGTTGTTTTCAGGCTTGAAAGATTCAGCTTCTTTAGCTGATTTTATTACTCTTTCTGCGAGGAGAATTGGAAGAGAAAGCTCTTCTTGAATGGATTTTTCAACTTCTGCCATTACCATGGATTCAAGCTTTTCCTGGCGGAGGGAAAGTGGAAGACGCCGTGTATGATGGCTGTGGAGGTTAGTTGTGGAGGCTTGAAGAGCAATAATAATATTATTAATGATAATGAGAGAGAGGTTTTATGGTTAGGATAGAAAGTTGAATATATAACAATAAAATAAAAAAGTATATGACAAATGAAAACTAACTTTATAAAAGTCTTGTCTTAAATTCTTTCACACAAATAAAATATTTTATAAGTAAATTTAAAATTTTCCTCAATTTTTTAACAACACATTTTTCAAAAAATTACTGTTCAAAATATTATTTTTCTCAAATAATAATTGTCGAACAGTGGCTAAATGTCCATGCAAGGCACATAAATGATATCTAAGTAAAAGAGTAAATTATTTTAAAATATTTTCTTATTTAAAACAAAATGATGATTATTCAAATTAAATGATAATTTCACTCTTTCATTAGACATCATGTGCATGTCACATGGTCATATAATAAATACATAAACATTTTTTTTCACATAAGATACCACTGGCACAATTTTAAAAGAATGGAGACATGACCATTCTACATTTGAAAAGTTGAAAACCTTATAGGATTTACCCTTTTATTTAATGTGAGAAAAGTAAGGGAAGGGAACAAGAAATTGCTTGGAGTCTTACCGAAGCAATTTTTCCACATTGAATTAAAAGAAGAAGAAGAAAATGACTTTTATAGTGGGAAAATCACGTGAAAGATCAAGCAATGACCTATTAAAGTTATGGTAAACATTTGGGTCAAAGTCAATGGTTCAATAAGTTTCAACACTTTCAAGTACTGTGGGACAGCGTAAACTCCGAAATAAAATCCATACGTTGACTTAAGCAAGTCAAGAATGAAATAATTAATTAAATTTTACTATAGATAATATTATGAAAGAGAAATACCAAACAAGATTAAGCCCCTGTCTGAGCTATTTTTCTCAAAACTCATTTTCAATTGTATATTCTCTCATAGAATAATTTACACGTAAATCAAAAAAAAATTTCTTATTTTTTAACCGTCCAAACTACAAAAATCACTATTACAAAACTAATTTTCCTCAACACATGGATCTCAATATGGTCTAAGAGCGTGTTTAATAAAGTTTGAATTTTAATTTTTCCTGATCGTTCGTATTTTTATTCACAATTATCGTAGAACCCACTACTTACAAACACTACAAAATACTGCTTTGTTTGGCTAAACTTTAAGTGGGTTATAATGAAATGAAATTAAAAAGTAGGTAAAAATGGTGAGTAGTTAAAAAAAGATGATTGCCCTGCTTATACTCTTTAAAAATCTTTCCCCAAACATGCTTTAAAATATTTATAAGACTTTCTAGCCAATCCAGCATATTTAAGCGAATACTAGATTTAACAAAGCAAATAAACGAGCAGAGTTCATTAAAATCTGAAATACAAGACTGTTTCACGAGAGAATTTCTCACGAAAAGAGTAAATCCATGGCTATCCCTTCAAAGCTTTGCTATTACACCAGATGGCAAAGGCCTTTCTTTCACGTCATTCTCCTTGGCATCCGTCTCACATGCGTTAGGCGGGACGTCCACTGCCGGTGAGCAGTTGAAGAATCCATGTGGCTGAATGCACCCACAACCATCAATACTAATATGATAAGGAATGGTGAAAAGGAAAAATAGAAGAAGAAGACAATTATTTAGACTTGGACTTCAATTTATTTCAGCCTCATCAACAGATTCAAAATAGAAAAATAAAAAAGGTTCATAATGGGACATTACCACTCATATAACTCACCTGAAGCATAAAACCAATAAGCTCGACTGGCATAACCGGCCAGTCTTCCAACCGAGGAACATGTGCGATACCGAAAACATACCTGCATTTAACACAATCAATGGATTTCAAACATTTCGACCATATGCTGCTGCCATTGAGATAAAGTCATCGTGTTGTCTCAAAGAGAGACTATTTTTTGTATTTAGATTCTATTATTAGAAGAAACCATTACATAATTCAGAAAGTCGATGAAACTAACCACAGAACAATATCAGCTTCTTCCAGAGACCGATTTTGCTTCACTTAAGAAGTCAGTCCCTCTCCAACGCGAGGATTCTGATTAGGAAACTCTCCTCCAGGAAAGTCCTCCCCCCTCGTATACTGAGTAACCCACAGATTATGGTTCAAAAAAGCAGCTCTTCTCATGAATTTGGCCTCTGGACCAGCCAGAGGGAGACAGTTAGACCCCGGTACTAGTCTACAGCCTGTCAGCTGCCTGTTCCTATTTACAGTTCGTGTTTCAAATCTGCAATATGGAATATTACAAGGGAATTCGTTGTCGAGATGATTGGCTTATAATTCAAAATTTGAGAGGGCAGTGGAATATTAAGTAAATCTTTCTGAATAAAACATGGGTACAATGCAGTAACTGAGTTGTTACTTGTTAGTAACATAGAGCCCAAAAGTCAATCTTGTTATATCAGCTATGCATAATACACGGTGGTACTTCACTGCATTTTATGAGAAGCCGAAGATAAAAAAGGAGAAAATATTCATTCATATTGAATTCATTCTAAACAAAAGGCAAATACAAGTAAGCAATTACTTAATAGACATGCAATCAGGTCACAATGCTTACAATCCAATGGCGAGCCAAGAAAGGATCACAATCTCGCATGGCTTCTAATTCACTTCTGAGCAAAGTTTCCTCAGCATAAAATGCATTGTTGTGAACATTATCCTTTCCCGGTTCTTCAACTTTGACATTCACTTCAACAACCTGAAGATAATGGAAAGAATAAAATAAATGGATAAAATAAATAATATAATCATGGCAGGGTTGCATCTCAATCTAAATTACTTATCATGGAGCAGTCAAAGAAGGTCGTAAGCAGAATTTTGAATGCAAAATAGGCTAGTGTCAAGTTCAAGTGAATTAACACCAAAGCGATGAGAAAACTGCCATTAGTTAATATGACTTAGTGCAACTGGAAATTAATGAGACAAGGTTACTGACTCAAGACCACATACCTGATTGTGTGCTTCTCCGGGCTTGCGGTCAACTGCCATATACATACGAGCAACAAAGAAGTGTCGATGAACTGGGGCATATAGTCCTGGGGCAATCATTGTGCCATATTTTCGAGATACTTCTTGTTGCAGTGCTCCTCAACTGAGAATTCCGGTAAGTTTAACATCTGCTTCAATTTTCCCATCCTGCATCCATTGATATGAAAGATCATCTCAAGTTGCAGAATTATAGAATGGTAGTTCATTTGCTGTTACCTTACAAAAAATAAAAATTAAAATTGTGTTCTGTTTAGAAATGCACCAAGTCCTACCTCCAATGATATTGATAGGGACCTGAACTGGGGAATTAAATTGTTCAAATAGGAAAAGAAAAGAATCGGAAATTAAACTGTGATTTCACTAAGTTGAATATAGAGAAAAAAAAGACACAGGATATCCCAAAGCATTCGAGAGGCACTGGACTCTCCCAACAGACCCTTGATACTTCCATGAAGAAAATGACTACCCCGCCCCCCCCCTCCCCACATTTATTGACAGTTCCTAACAGACTCCCTACCCCTTCCCGAACAAACTACTAACAGAATAAAAAAATGAATATATACTTTCTGTTACTTAGCTGAATTGGCTCCTTAGCTGACTTGGCTTATTCCTTCGTGCATACGTGAAAATCACCGGGAGCCTATCAGATATCTTGTGCAATACATGACTACCTTAGATATGAAGCTAGAAATATATTGTTTTCAATAGAAGTACTAGTAATAAGGTAATTAATAGATATGTTTACAGGGATTTACTTCTTGAAGTTACTTAAATGATTAATGTGATACATGATACGAGAACAGAGAAGATTCTGTAAAAGACATTCTAAAATCATTTCTATAATTTTGTATTTGACAAAGAAACAATAGTTACTCAATCCATAGAAACTTTTATTTTTGCATCAACTCTAGCAACCTACACCTCCAATCCCAAAAAATGAAAATTACAAGAAAAAAGAGAACACAGAGAGAGCGGAGAGATATCAGATAAGTGAACAAGGATGTTTAAGAATTCTTTTTTCCAATTTTGTTCTCTATTCAGCAAGAATAAGTAAAAGTTTAGGTCAAATGTGAACAAGTAGGTTAGATCCAAACACTTGAACAGCATATAAACTTAAAACTGACTTTTTTTCTCTATCTTCAGTCAAATGCATTCTTCTTGCCTGATAGAAGTGCCAGTAAAATCCATATTCATAATTAGCAACAGTGCAAATAAAGGAAACAGTAAGCCTTCTTGATCTACGAACTTATGTCAATCCAGTTCTCTAATCTTGATGCTTCCAGAGGATTCCATGATCTTCTTCATGCAAACATACACAGTTTTTGGTAGTTTCAACCCCTCCAGTAAAATTTGTAAAATGAGCATCAAAGTACTTTATATATCCCAAACAATCACATCCCTGAAATGTTAACTTGCGTTAGACAAAGATTCCAAATTGACAGATTAATATGCACAATATTTAAACTTAAAAGACTGAACACCATTATGAAAGACAACAGACCTTCTTAAGAGAGTGAGCATTCTTCCCAAGGCCATCTTCCCCAGCATCAAATGCATTCTTCCTATGATGTGGATCATTGGGATCCCCATAGGGAACAACCATCTCCACAAAACTCAACCTATGAGCTATAGGTCTCTGACCTCGACTACCATCAACATAGGCAACTGAGTGGATAACCAAATCCTCTCTTGGAGTGAAACCAACCCTAAAATTCCACTGCCAACCAACAATTCAATATTTACATTCTCAAACCACGAAATAATAGAGCAAATATAAAATGAGAAAAAATGACCTTCTGCCACTCTACATAATGTCCATTAACTCAAAAGCTGGGACCCTCTGGTTGAATGATTTGCAGGGGTTTCACGTCACTTCTATCAACTCCTCCTCTTGTTTCACCAGGAGTGTAATTCCTCAATGGATCAGCTGGAGGTAA